CCTTAGCCCACACCTCTCCTTCCGGTCCCTTCCCCTAAACATCCCAAAACCACGAGATAAATCAACTAACTGGGAACTCACAAGCCGTCGCCTCAATAAATCAAAATCTTCGACAGCTGGAACTGACACGACAGGGTGATTGTGTGTGTATATGTGTGTGTGTGTGTGTGTGTGTGTGTGTGTGTGTGTGTGTGTGTGTGTGTGTGTGTGTGTGTGTGTGTGTGTGTGTGTGTGAGAGAGAGAGAGAGAGAGAGAGAGAGAGAGAGAGAGAGAGAGAGAGAGAGAGAGAGAGAGAGAGAGAGAGATAGTGTGAATGTGTATTCGACCAGCAAAAGAACCAAAGACCATTGTATATATCTCGCTTTGCTGCTCTCCGCCAACCCTAAAAGGAAATGGTAAGGACAGGGAGGCGTTTGCGGGTAATTATAATGATAAAAGAAGACATAACGACATAATGCCGATTTTTACTTTATGTGTGAATTACGGGACTAAATCATTTTTTGACGGAACAAAATGACCGACCTTGTCACTAAAATGAATGTTTTAACTACCAATAACTAAAATTAAACCAGTAATATCAATGCTAAAAATCATCCCTTTTAAACTCTTGATTCAATCTAATTGCAGGATTTAAAGAGCCTAATATATGCCCGTTTCCCCTTTTTCACTTTTGTCACTGAATCATTACAATTCGTTGTGTAAAAGGGATGATAAAATGGAGAAAGTAAAGAATAATAATAATAAGAAAATAATGCATGGAACAGCTAAAATAACCGGTTCGGGATGTTATTTTTGTTATTAAAATAACGAACGGAAACTCCAGTAGACCCTTCGTGATATAACATTAAAACAATAAGAATTGACCAAGCTGGCGATAACAATGATGATTGATGAAGATTTTCCCACATAGAACAAAAGTGAAGGTGTGTACTGGACTTTCCTTGAGCATGAAGATGACACGGGTGATGGGGAAAACTACGGTGGATTTTATGGGCAAGATAACAGCATTTGGCTGATTCAGATTTCATGCTTGACTTTAACTAACCCAAATGGTAGGTATATTCCGCGTTTGTTTGATTGCTGCATTTTCCATTTAATGCTTTTAATGCAATATGGCCTTAACGGTATATATATATATATATGTGTGTGCACACACACACACACATATATATATATATGTCTGTGTGTGTGTACATATATATATATATATAATATATATATTATATATATATATATATATATATATAATATATGTGTGTGTGTGTATGTATATATATATACATGTGTGTTATATATATATTATATATATATATATATATATATATATATATATTTATATACATATATATATAATATATATATATATATATATATATATATATATATATGTATGGTAATAGACATACATATATATATATCTATTAAATATGTATATATCTATATATATAAATATATTCATATATTAATAGATATATGAATATATATATATATATATATATATATATATGAATATATAATATATATATATATACTATAAATATATATATATTATNTCGTTATTACCATTGTCATCATCATTACTACCATCACCATAATCATTATTACTATCATCACTATTACCATCATCATCACTACCATCACCATCATCATTATTACCATCACTACCACCACCACCCTCCCCCACCCCCTCCCACATGCACTCACGCCCTCCGCTCGCCCACAGATCGACTGCAACGGCGACGGGACGGTGGACTGCCTCGACTACGCCCACATCCACATGATGGGCGGGTACGGGTGCAAGGATCCATCGGTCAGAACCACCGACTTCTATAAAGTTTTCGAAAATTGTTGGGATGTAGTTAACGCGGCTTCTTCTCCATCTGCTACGTAGAGTAAAAGGCATTATATAATTATATATATAGTATAATATAGTCTTTAAAAAATCGCAAAAATAATACGCCTGTGGCCCCCTTGACACGTCGTATCCTGTCAGCTGACTCGTTCCGGAATCCGTTTTCTTTTTCTTTTCTAATTTACCTAAAGATTGATTGAGTAAAATCTGTTCGTCAGAGGAAGTATCGGGGGTTCTCTCACCGATAAAGTTGAGGAATTCTGAACGAGTAAGCTTTCTACTTATTTATTTTCTGGTTTAATGAACTTTCTTGTTTTATTTCGCTGAAAGTTCTCTTACTCACAAGGCTTTAAAATGGCATCACTATTTTTTCTCTCTATCTTTTGGCCCAAAATAAACTTACTGGGTTTAATATATTTATACAGAAGGGCCTGTCAGTTTAAATTAAAACGAAAACAATATTGGGGAAACAGACCTATTCAAATTAAATTTTCACATTTACCTTGGACATTTAGGCTATTTCAAAACAACTGGACCACTCTCTTTATGTTGCATCAAACGGAAGCACGAGATTTAACACTTTTGTAAGAGTTCAAGTTGAAGGGTTGTCATGTAAAGTTACTTGCCTTAATAAAGTATTGTGAATTTTTTGTGCTTTTGATTCTTCCTACCTAATTAAGAGAGAGAGAGCGAGAAAGAGAGAGAGAGATTGTCTTCCCTTAATAAAGTATTGTGAATTTTCTGTGCTTTTGATTCTTCCTACCTAATTAAGAGAGAGAGAGAGAGAGAGAGAGAGAGAGAGAGAGAGAGAAGAGAGAGAGAGAGAGAGAGAAGAGAGAGAGAGAGAGAGAGAGAGAGAGAGAGGAGAGAGAGAGAGAGAGGAGAGAGAGAGAGAGAGAGAGAGAGAGAGAGAGAGAGAGAGAGAGAAGAGAGAGAGAAGAGAGAGAGAGAGAGAGAGAGAGAGAGGAGAGAGAGAGAGAGGGAGAGAGAGAGAGAGGGAGAGAGAGAGAGAGGCTGAGAGAGAGAGAGGCTGAGAGAGAGAGAGGTGAGAGAGAGAGAGGCTGAGAGGAGAGAGAGGCGAAGAGAGAGAGAGGAGAGAGGGAGAAGAGAGAGAGAGAGAGAGAGAGAGAGAGAGAGAGAGAGAGAGAGAGAGAGAGAGAGAGAGAGAGAGAGAGAGAGAGAGAGAGAGAGAGAGAGAGAGAGAGAGAGAGAGAGAGAGAGAGAGAGAAGAGAGAGAGAGAGAGAGAGAGAGAGAGAGAGAGAGAGAGAGAGAGAGAGAGAGAGAGAGAGAGAGAGGGGGGACTTTGACTTTTACTTTGACACGTTTATTGAGACAAAAGTAAGATTACATCTCAAAAGGATGAGGTAACTTACGTTATCCTCACCCTTACTTAATAAGTCCCTGTGCGGGCTCACAATTCATGATACAAAGCTTAGGTACAATAATATTTAAAATTAAATACAGCACTTAAATTATAAAGAATTACAAGCATTACAGGAATTCAGAGTCATTGGCTTACATATCGGTAAGGTGATATAACACTCCCACCCTCATCCAAATAAGTCCCCTCCTGGCTTACATAATCAAATGCAGCGCACAAAAAATATGCGCGCGCAATATATAATTATAATCCCGGAGAAGAGATGAATCAATTGTTCAGTGGAATGATTATATTTCAGGAGAATGATGCCTAACATACGCCATTCATCAACAGTAAAGTAGGAGACATTATAGTCTCAGCAGGAGTAACAGCTTACATACCTATGCATATTTGCGAGGTATGTTTATGATATTGGTGCAAATTGCCTGTACCTCTTCAAAATCTCGAATACCTGACCGTTCCTAATCATCCATACAGCCTGTTCAGGTAAACCTGTTATCTCTGCATTTCTATGTGTCTGAAGCATAGAACATTGTAATATATAATGCAATGTATGTGATCTAGGCAAACTACACTCCCTGCATTCTTTTTCTTTCTCGCTGAAACGCCTAACTCCCTGTAGTATTTATATCCAAGCCTGATCCTCATGTACACACTGTCTTTCCATTTGCTCTTGCCCTTCCCATAAGCAAAGTCTGTGTTCGTTGGTAGATGGATATAGTGTCTCAGAGTATCGCTTTTCCTAATCGCTTCGCCCCTCCTGGCCTCCACATAGTCTAACTTTGTCCTCTTGATTTTGCTCTTTGCCTGTTTGAGGTGTCCGCATGCAGTGAATGTCTACCTCATGCTTCCTGGTCGCCCCCTTGGCGATCTCATCAACAGCTTCATTGAAGGTAAGACCTACATGCGAAGGGATCCACACAAATGCAATCACACGCCCCTGACCTCACAACCTATGAGCTATCAAACGACACTCGCCAACTATGTGGTCAAACACAGGGATTTTGCTGTTAAGTGAGTCCAGTGCTCCCCTGCTGTCCACAAAGAAGTATGAATCCTTATTAATTATTTCAATCTCTTCAAGCGCCGTCAGTATTGCCCATAGTTCAGCTTGTGTTGAAGATCTGTGATTGCTCAGTCTCATCCCAGTCTGATGATGACTCCGCACCCAGCTCTACCATCTTCCAGGACTGACCCATCACAGTAAACATGAGCAATGTCAAGTCGTGTTAGACTATTTTATGGCTGTACGTTGCTTTAAGTTGGCCTGGTTCATATCTCTCACTAATTTCTTTCCACTGGTCCCTCTCATTAACCTGATGGCCGGTATTGCATTGATCTCTCTCACACTCTGTACAATGCTTTGCAATCCCGTCTCTGCTCTCATTATATCTATCCTGGTATTCATTTGACACCCGAGGATTATTCTCATAGCTTCATTCTGTATGGTTTCAAGTTTCCGGTGTCTCCCTTGGCAGGCCATGGAAAGTCCTGGTGCTGCATAATCCACCAAGGCTCTTATTGTACTAATGTAGATTAGCCTCAGCAAGGCCACCCCAGCTCCTACTCCGCGACAAGCAAGTGCTCTGAGGCAATATATGATTTACCCCAGCATCTTTACTTGGCGCAGTAAAGCCAATGTATACTCCTAGATATTTATGTGTCAATACTTTCTCCACCTGTTTGTCATTTAAACTGAGTCTCACGTTGCCCCTCTGCTTGCTCTGATATTTTGTCTTTTCTTCATTGATAACCAGCCCTAATGTTTGAACAAATTTACTAAAGTTGTTCAGCGCCGTTTATCATCTGCGTATATAATTGGCTGTACGCCCTGAGGATAGCTCTCTGAGGCTATTCTATTCATCAGTATATTAAAAAGTGTTGGGCTTAAAACGCCTCCCTGTGGTGTTCCCAGCTCAAGATTTCTTTCCTCTGACAAACAGCCTTGAAACCACACATGAGCTCTTCTCTCAGACAAATAGTCATCGATCCACTTAAGCAACGTGGTACGCTCTATAATCATTAAGTTTGAGAGCATCACCTTTCGTGTCCCTGGTTTCCTGGAGACAAACTACGTCAATAATTTTTTTCAGTACAAAGTAGTGAACGTCTGTAACTTTGGTAAGCAAACTACTTACATTCCATGATAATATTCTAATACTACGCTCCATCAGGTTTTGATTGTGTCCTCATGTTTTTCTACTACTTTTTGAATAGTTCCCCATAGCTCTTGTATAATTTCCCATTTTTTCAGGAGGTTTTCCTTCTTCAGATCCTTACATTTTAGGACTGACCGGAAGACCTCAGGGGATGTTCCTTCCACTATGCTTGATTTTATTGTTCTTTCTTTACCCTTAATGGTAATCTTTCTTTCTAAATTTTTTTCCCTTACAAGTCCACTAATATTTTCACTATTCATTTCTTTCTCGGTCTCCTCTTCCTTTTTCTGTTCCTTTTCTAACGCGTCCATCCTCTTAATCATGGTCTGCATCATCTGCGTAAGTGCGGATAATGCCTCCCCATCATTACTGCGCGGTACTTCTTTCACCTGTTGTTGCTACTAAGTTCAGTTGTTTTCCTTAGGCACCACGGCCGGTGGGCCCTGCAGCCAGGCGTTCGGGACAGGAGGTGCTGTCTCCCTCGGCACCTCTGCCTGCATAGTGACCGGCCCTGCCTCCCTCGGTGCCTCTTCTGCGACCACGGCCGAAGTTACCTTCCATCTCAAACTACGTCAATAATTTTTTTCAGTACAAAGTAGTGAACGTCTGTAACTTTGGTAAGCAAACTACTTACATTCCATGATAATATTCTAATACTACGCTCCATCAGGTTTTGATTGTGTCCTCATGTTTTTCTACTACTTTTTGAATAGTTCCCCATAGCTCTTGTATAATTTCCCATTTTTTCAGGAGGTTTTCCTTCTTCAGATCCTTACATTTTAGGACTGACCGGAAGACCTCAGGGGATGTTCCTTCCACTATGCTTGATTTTATTGTTCTTTCTTTACCCTTAATGGTAATCTTTCTTTCTAAATTTTTTTCCCTTACAAGTCCACTAATATTTTCACTATTCATTTCTTTCTCGGTCTCCTCTTCCTTTTTCTGTTCCTTTTCTAACGCGTCCATCCTCTTAATCATGGTCTGCATCATCTGCGTAAGTGCGGATAATGCCTCCCCATCATTACTGCGCGGTACTTCTTTCACCTGTTGTTGCTACTAAGTTCAGTTGTTTTCCTTAGGCACCACGGCCGGTGGGCCCTGCAGCCAGGCGTTCGGGACAGGAGGTGCTGTCTCCCTCGGCACCTCTGCCTGCATAGTGACCGGCCCTGCCTCCCTCGGTGCCTCTTCTGCGACTCCTTTGGTGGGGAACGGCCGAAGTTACCTTCCATTGAGGCCTCGCTCTGCATGCCAGAGATACGGCATTGTGCGGGCCTCTGCCATTGCAGTAGCAAGGCTTAATCCTATCTCCCTTTTCTATTTTGGACCGGCAGATCCTGGAATCGTGTTTCTTGCCGCAGAACCTGCATCGGGCGTCCTGTTGGAATTTCCACGATTTGTGGCCCCATCTGCAAAATTTGAGGCACATGACTGGCGGCTCCACATATGGTGCCACCCTCCTGTACCCCGCTCCAGAGATGAAGATCCTCTCTGGTACTTCCCCTTTCACGAGGGCTATGAGCTTACTCCGCTCCTCACCCCAGGACTCTTTCCTCTTCACCCACACGAACCTTTCGTCGTCCAGATATTCTGGGTCCAGTACAATAGGGCATTGGAAAATTATCACTTTCGTGAGCTTTTCCCCACCCTTTGGGACAGTCATCACCGTCCCCTTGTACCCTTGAGTTGTCAGGGTTTGTTCTGCCGGACCTGCGCGTACCGTGAGGTACAGCCTTCCTCTGCCTTCCTTTAGCAGCAGCTCAAAACCACGGTGGTCCCGGCTCAGCTGCATGGCCCATCTTTATTTTTCCATGAAGTTCATGCACAGTTCTGCGGGAATAGTAACCTCTTCCTGCTGTTCACACCTTCATTCTGACTTCCTTGTTTTCATATTTCTTTTTCCTCATTTCTTCCCACTCGCACCCATTCTCAGTATCACTCATCTCACTTGAGCTTTCGTCGTTCCTTTCCCTCTTATAGAAACCACTTTCCATAGGCCCTTTCACTTGTGCACACTCACTTTCAGTTTCCATGTCATAATTGGTGGTATGGCAATGCCAGCCATGCCGACACCTGGGGAGGTAACCTGAGCCCCGCCCACGAGGCGGTC